TGCTGTATGTCGCAGTAGCTGACAAAGAACATCTTATACTAAAGCAGTTACATGATACTAGAGCAGAACACGTAGCTGCCATCTGACTGTGGTGATGCAGCTACACACACCAAAAGCTGCAGTCAAGTGAACAGATTGCTATAAATCTCTTGTCCATTTGGCTTGTCTCTCTCCATAAAAACATTTAACGCTGCTGCCAGGGAGCCTGGCTAAGTTGGTCAGAGTGCTGCGTTTCTGTTTGCCCCCTCTTTTGTCATTTTCTTATAAGCAGTAACAAAGTTGTGATACCATGCTTAACTACAAGAATATGTGACTTAAATTTCACCAAACTGTAATCACAGCCAGCTATCAACATTACAGTGCAGGTATCGTGTCAAACATATCTTGACACATTTTAGCTGTACTCTTCTTATGAATTATGGATTAAACGCACAAGGACAGGCTGGTGTCTGATTGATTCTGTGCACCACATGGCTGTTAAACACCGTTACATGCTTTGACTTCAGTAGCTCACCCTTGTTTGACCTCACACCCTCTACACCAAACACACATCAAATAATCAATAAATTAATTAAAGTTTCCACTGTGTGTTACGGGGTGATTTTTAAATTGCTTCCTGCAATACTGAATAGGGATGAAACGGTATGAAAATTTCATATCACGATTATAGTGACCAAAATTGTCACAGTTATCAGTATTATCACGGTATTGTAAAAATGTGCCAAAAAGGCAGTGATAGTAATTGTAATGAGCCCAAACACGGACATAAATACAGAGGAGTCTGTAGCGTTTCTAGATATGCTGGTTGGTTGACTAAACAGCGTAACATGTTGTCATGTGCAGTGGACGAATAGACTCTGCCGACACACGACGCACACAGCAACAGAACAACGTGTAGAGTTTTTACAAGAGCAGCTTCAGTTTTACACGCTGTTAGCAAGTCAGGAGACAAACCAAAGCAAAAAATTAACTCACCCTGCGTTCACTGTAAGGTGATTTTCTTCAATCAAGTTTCCCTCAGTGCTCTCATAAACACTAAAATACGACTGGGCTTCAGAGTGACTGGAAAATCTCCGCAGCATTGTCTTCCGCTGTGTTGTCATTGACCCAAACAAACCGACGTTGCATTCTGTGCATGCGCGCCTTCTTCTGGGAGACGCTGGACCGTGTTTGCCGTGAGATTATAACAGTGCGGTTAATCGTACCCGGTTATCATGGTAATTAAAATGTGTACGGTAATAATAACCGTCGGGAATTTTACCATGGTTTACCGTTAAACCGGTAATCGTTTCATCTCTAATACTGAAATAGTATTTTTCTGTCCAAAATTGATGTTGGCACCACTATCATACACTCTGTGTTTATAATGTCTCTCAGATACCAGATACCTAAAGAAATGCTTTCAGTGCTCTCCAGGCTTTTGCTCTAAGCGAGTCGATTTAACGTACAGGGCAGAGCCGGAGGTGGAATCAGCTCTGCTCAGAAAACACTCAGTGGTCATCTCCAGTTACCTTTTTGAAAGTCTTTGTGTGGTTGGATGGGTTTGGCAGTGTAGACAGAGATAGTACTCGGTACAGAAAGCAGGCACGTGTGGCTGTGTGGGGTCTGAGCTACAGTTGGGGGAGTATGTCTGAGCCAGACAGAGCTAATGAGATAATAGCATGTGTAATGGATGAGTCATTTAACAGGAGTTGAAGGAACTAAAACCACAGCACTGTAATCCTACTTTTACTCAGCTTCTAGCCGGCCTCTTTTAATTTGCACAGTTCCCCTGGTGAAGGATGTCAGGTTTTATTTTTAGCATGTGTTACTTTTTAACACCTACTGCTGTGTCTGGGAGTTTTTTCTAATCCAACCTGCAAATTTTTTTTGTCATTTAGATTATAACTGTTTTTTTTATCTTTGTTTAAAGGTGTTACCTTTTGTTTTGTTTGTTCCAGCTTGAGGTCAGGACTTGTTGTGAATGAGACTGTACCTTACGTTGCTTAATAACAACTCAACAACGTGTTTTGCAGTGTCGAGACCCTTGTTAAAGGTGTTAAAGTAATAAAGGCTGCTGGAAAAAATGTAATCAACAGCAATTTCAGTAAAATCATTAATTTTAGTATTTATACCTGAGCTTTTCCTGCTTTTACATGTCAAAATGTCTTTGTGAAAATGGCCTATTGGGTAAAGTGTGTGTCCAGCTGGAAATGATCAAACTAGTCAGTGAGACAAACTTGCACATTAACTGTGCTTAGGCTGTTTGTCTTTTCCCAACTTGTAGATTATGGCGCATCTTATTTTGTAAATGTAGTTTCTTCTAGATGACTACTTACTAATGAACATTCGCCACAGCCATAAAATATTTGGCCTTTGCTGCGTGATAGTGCAACTGCTCATTTTCCTTGAAGCTTGATACACCTAAATAGGTCTGTGCGATATGACGATATCAATTGTTTGATGATAGCAAAACGTCCATCCATTAAAATGATGCTCTATCGTTTATTTCATTGTGTCGCAAATTTTATACTTTACAAGGGGAGGACACTTCGCACTGCGGTGAAGTTTTACGTTGGATATTCAACCAACATCTGTCGATTATCCAACTTGAAACTAACTTCACCGCGGTCCGTTCTTCCACACTTGCCTGTGTTGCAGGGAAAGAATTTGCATTAAGAATAAACAAATGTGGAGGAGAAGCTCGTGAAGTTTACTCATAACTGGATGATACTGAACAGGAGGACTCAGACCATGCAAACAAAAACGAGGAGCTCATACCTCAGAGAGAAGTCGGTTGTATGGGCAAGCCACGCAACAGTACTAGGTTACTTTCTAGTTCACAGAGATGTGCTGTTGTTGTGATGTGAGCTATAGCAGCAGGAGTGTTGTATTGCTGTCTAGAGCTGCTGTGCTGCTCTGGTACCGTCTCGTCCTCTCATGTTAGCTTTGCAGCAGCAAGTAGCTACAGTTTGCTAGCCCACAACCTAAATAACGTTAGTTACATTACTTGCTGTGTGGTTGTTCACTCTGTTCATGGTTTCTGTCCTGGTGTTGGATTTCTCCTGAATAGCTTACCCTGCCTTGATGATAAAGAGAAAAATCATGAGTTGAATCATGAAAATGTTATATATCAAGAGGGATATGAAATAATCTATATCGGGATATGAGACCAATACTCACTGAAATAGAAATAAATGTAAAAGGACAGACATGCCTTTGCTTGATCGGATAATTATTTCATTAGGACTGCAAATTTGAGTCTGACCAGAGTAACTGTATACCCTAACAGGCTGACTAGGGCTCTTTTGCCACACTTCATAGGTGGCCACTATGAGCCACCATTGATAAAGTGAAAAGGCACTCTTCTATATGTCAGTATTCTTGTCTTCTCTGTGAGCTCTGTTATTTTATTCTGCCCATTCCTCTGCCAGTGACATTTAATTTATGTCATTTCCTCTTCCCTTTTGTGTGTGTGTATGTGTGTGTGTGTGACAAATATGACCCTGGGGAAAGTGCTGGTGCTGAGTGGTTCTTCAGTTTCGCAATAGCGAACCGCTCATAGCGTGGATGTTAATATAGCCCCGATTTATGGATTTAATAAATGTTGTCATCTAATCCAGTGGTGTTACAAAGAGGACAATGTGGGAGTGTGTGCAATGTACAGTATTGGTGTGTGTGCATTGTAGCTGAATGGGAGCCATTGTGTGTTTTTGTTTTCAGAGGGTCCAGGGGATCTGATATGTCATTCAGACGGGGAGCAGGGCAGGGGAAGGTGGCGCCGGCTTTGGCTCGGTTGGGCGAACGTACTTAATAAAGCTCTCTAAAAACTAATTTCCCCAAATCCCCCGCATCCCGAGAGGCTCCCTCACTCATCACTGCTACAGTGCTGCATTGTCTCAGCCGGACTTTCGGCGTTTGTTCTGGTTAGTGTGTGAGTGTGGGCTGACGCATATGTAAAAGTGTGTGACTTATTCACAGGTTAGTGTGTGTTCCCGTGCATACACATGTCAGAGAAACTGTCCTTCAAGTAAGGGACCTCAGATGCTCACTGCTCTTGTCCTACAAGCTATTATACTGACACACACACACACACACACACACACACACACACACACACACACACACACACACACACACACACACACACAAACTTACAAGGGAGCTCAGGTCTATTCTTAGTTCTGCCTTGAATTATTCATTACTTGCAGCCAGAGTGGAAATGGTATAGACACACACACACACACACACAAACTGTACCCACCACACGGAGTCATGCATTGAGGGCGTGGACAAAAACGCCAGCAGGAACACCAAACAATGTAATCAATATAATTCAACTCAGTACAGCAACAACACAAACTGCAACCTCAAAAATGACAGAAGAGTTGAATCCACAGTCTGTACAGTGTGAACTTTACAAAGGTGATTTACCGTACTACTGCAGATCCGAACGCTAACCTGACTCTATACCTCTGAATCGCCACCCACATCTCAAGAAGGTCTGGCTTCATTGACAGGTGTTTCCCTCGGTTAGAGACGCTATGTGAAAGGTTTGTAGGTGGGATTAAAAATGGGACTTCATCCTCATATATGGCTGGCTAGCTACCTAACAACATTAATAATAAATAGTGTAAGAAGTTTGAGAAAAGTGTGAATTACATTGATGCAGCTGTACAGGATTTACAGAAATAACAGCTCTAAAATTGACATACAGTATATCTTTAATCAATGTGAAAAAACATTGTTGTGGGAGGAAGTGGAGACATGATGTTGGTGGAACAGACGCGTCAGTAAATAAAATTGAAAAACTGATGGGGGGGGGAAAACAAATCACATGAATAATAGACATTTTTGCCACCGTAAATCCTTCAAACCAGCACAGTGTGCTGTCAGTAAAAGCCAATCACAAACATGTTTGATGATGAGAGCCCTCCTTTCCATGCTGCTGTTAATGATAGCTCTACAATAACTTTAGTGATGACTTCTCAATGTCTGTCTCTTTGTCTTTGTGTGTCCAGGCTCTGGACGTGGACCGCAGTGTTCTGTACAAGATGAAGAAGTCTGTGAAGGCCATCTACACGTCAGGTCTAGGTGAGTCCTCCTGTCTGTCCTGTCTGTTTTCATTTCCTTATTTTACCACTCAGAAACCTTCAAAGATGCTTTCAAGCTCAGTTGTATGACTAACAGCTAGAAATTTGGACATTGAAATGATCAATCAATTAATTATTACAATTATTCTTTATACATCTTTTCTCATTTTTATAAGGCATTTCTCTCCTTGATATAAAAAAAGAAGAATTTTGAGTTTTTTTGTGGCTATTGGGCAGACAAGGCTAATATGATCTAAAACAAGATCATGATGAATGTTTGTGTTTTATTCTCTTCACCATTAGTTTAATTTAAAAAGGCACAATATATTGAAAATGAAAATGATTATTAATTCCCTAAAGTGTGTGTGTGTGTGTGTGTGTTATTACCATGCTCGTTGTGGCTGGCTGTGCCACTGTTGGGTGTTTCCAGTGTCTTTTGTTTGGCCTGCCTGACAGAACCCCGCTGAGAGAGGGAGGCAGAGAAACCTCTGAACAATGTGCTGAGCATGTCTTTTTCAGAACAGTGTGAGCTCTGTTCAGGCCAGAGGGACAGCTGTCTGATCCAGACCCCCAAAGTAACAGCTGGGGAGGGGCGCACACTGTGTGTGGGGGTGCTGAGGCATGGACACACACATGTTCTCACTTCACCTCGATGTTAAACATGTATTTACACATATACATGTTGTCTTTTGTCGCTGCCAAGACGCGGAACTTCTCTTTTGTCATTAAAAGCTGATAGTGTGTGTGTATGTGTGCAGGTGTACATGAAGATTAACTCATACAGTTTAATCACACTGTTCAGCTTGCCAAATGAATGCCCCTGTTACCATCATTTGAATCTCTGTGGTTAGTGCAGCAGGGTACACGTGTTTGAGAACGGCAGGTGTTTCAGGCAGTTGCAATTTTTTGTTTTCATTAGGAACAAGGTTATCTGCTGTAGGAAAAATTGGGAGGAAGCAAATCAGCATTTTTGCCTTTTAAGCTTAAACCATGAAGCTTGTCCAGATCAGTGTTTACAATGGAAACACTGTGGAAATACCACTGGGAACGCTTCTTCACAGTTCTAAGGGAAGCTCACGTTAACTCGCATCACCTTGACCTCAGTCATTTAGGAATGCTGCCCAGACACTGCTCTGTTTTGAATACAACCAAGATCACTCCTCTGTTTTATGCCTGTCAACTGCATTTCTCTAGAACATGAGACAGACATATACTTAGACTTCCAAATATAGAGTAGAGTTTGCAGTTTAAGCCCATTTACTACAAATACTGTATACCAGGGGTCAACTACATTTGTTCAAGGTCCAGAAGGTTTTTAAGCAGACACTGTGGGGGTTGGACTTGCCAAAAAACAACAAAAGAGGCTATAGACTGTCAGGCAATAATTGGTCTTTTTCCATTATTCTGTGAGCAGTCATAATCTGACTTTATGCTGCACACGACATGAGCCTGCGAACAGCAAAAGTGAAAGGAGTTGGTTACCTGACTGAGAAGGTGGAGGTGAGCAGCCTGTCGCCTGCAGCTCTTTATTTATCAGCTGACTGTGGCTGCTCCTGACTGTTGCGTTACTCGCTGCAATATTTCAAACTGACCTGCTGTCATAAAATGTTGCAAATGACCATTGTTTTGTAGACGCATTTTTGATTAACGATCAGTGCTAATCTCACTGATAAACACATTGCATTTCCTGTGACTACTTCATAATAAAAGTCTACTTCGCCATTTAAATACTTTTAAGGTGAAGTTTGCATTAGCAGCAACCTAATATAGCTTTCACCACAGATGCACAATACTGCAAATATATAAATATTGCTATACTCTCATCAGTGGCCATTCTGTGGGCCGGATGTGGCCCATGGCTGCACTAATCAGTAATTTTACAGTAACAATTGATCAAATAACTATGTAGTTAGTAAGTAAGAATAATTTGATTTCCATTCATTTCTATGTCATTACAAGTAAATAGTGCTTGGCAGCAATAAAATTTTTTAATTGAGATTAATCGCATGATTTTCTGCAATTAATTGCAATTAATCGCATAGTTGTTTGCAAAATTGAATAATGAATTTGTTTTTAAAGTAGTGTATTGCGCACTTTTAATTTTAATGTACTGCTATATACACAAGTGTAATAACAACAAATATATAAATATAATAAATAAATATAAACAAATAAGGTACTTTTTACCAGCAGTATTCCCTTTACACAGTAGAAATAAAATATTTCTTGTAAATCTCAACTTAAACATTAATGTGATCAAATCATATATTAAATCAAATTTACCTTATAGCTTGTTAAAACAAGTCCAGAGCCACGATCATAACATTAGGACAGGCACCTTTTGAGCAACAGGTTAACATATATAAATTGTTTTCTTGTATATTTTTTCTGAACAGTTATCAGCAGAAACATTTTTCTTTTATCGCGGAGCAGCATAATCAGTCTATGTTCAATAGCAAGTGTCCCTGTTAGAGTGAGGTGAAGTGGTCGCCTCATGCACACACCCGCCTGCTGCTAAAGTTTGTCTTGTCTTGAACTTTTTGTATGCGACGCAGAGCACAAATCATTGGAAGACAGACTGATCCTCGCTGTTTGTGAGTTTCCATAGTCTATTACTGTTTACTAAATAGGAAATCAACAGGAGGGAATTTGCATGGCAGAGTATCCCCGCAAAACTAGATGAAGGCCTATCAGGTAAAGTTATGTATAATTTTAATTTAAGTTAAATAGGCTACTGCTGTGTAGCATACAGAAGCTGTTGCCATGGTTACTATCCATAGAGCGGCTGTTGTTCACCAGAGAAGAGCAGAGCAACCCCGCGGGGCCAAGTGACTACGTTATGATAACAATAATTATTGCGATATAATTTTTTTCAATAACAATATAACAAATTTTTGATTTTATTCACTTGAATCATACACGAATTAGGACTTAATTTTTTTATTAGTATATTTATTTTGTTGAGGAAAAAGGACTGAAAAAAGCTTTTACTTGATTTTACTCATGCGTATTTGTTGACAAAGATTTTATCATAATTGTTTTGAATCTCCCACCTCAGATTTGTGAAGTGATCCACTGTTTGGCCTCAAGTGTTGACCACAAAGAAGACTTTAAACCACAATTAACCATCAGGTTTCTTCAACTTTACCTCAGGAGCAAAAGTCAGCCTTTAAACTTGAAAGAAATAATGATTTGATACTTATCGTGATAATTATCGATATCGACAGATATGAAACTTTTTATCGTGATAACATTTTTGGCCATATCGTCCAGCCCTATTCCTAAGACAGACTTCTTCCCCAATACTAATACTACTAATACTTGGTTCGCTTGGCTTGATTTTGTATTTTATTTTTTATCTACTCCCACACGCCACATCCAGTGTAGTCTGCCGAAGCCTCCCTCCGCTGCTTGTTTGGGTGGGTGATTTGCTGGCTGATCAACATCCCACCCCTCCTGTGATCCATGGTTTGACTATGTGTATTCAGAGCCAGTGAGCAACGGACTTTCAAAATAATATTAATAATAATAAAAACTGCGTTAATGTGCAATAAAATAATTGTTCTTCAAATAGGAAACTGGGATAACGCCTGAATAATGAGACGCACGACAGGGATCCTCAACACCGACTGCCTCAATACTCGGAGAATACTGTCCTGACTGGCTGTCTAGCCAAATCCCTGCAAGGATATTTTTAGCTATGACATGAGCAATAGTAATGATGAGGAGGTGAGGACGGAGAGGGTGTGGTTTGGTTGGAATGGTGCGGAAAAATTAACAAGATTACAAGAGTTACCACGCTAGGGAGAACCAGAGCGGCTGAGCAAGCACTGTAAGCTTGTACCAGAGAGTAAGAAAAAGATGAGGGAAATGAGAGAGTGAAAGAGGTGAGAAAGAAAAATACAGGGAACGCTGTATAGATAATCAAGAGAGCCCCATGTTGCTGCAGGGAACTGTCAGGCTGTCAGCTTGTTGGTTTTGATGAATAAACCAGGAGCTGCATCTCAAACCCCTGAAGAACCTGGAGCGGATGGAGCAGAGCTGCTAGGACAGGCCTCCCAAAGCTGCTGAGCAGACAACGACTCGAGGCAGATAAGTGAAACGCTGTGTTCACTATAGTAGGTACCTATAGATGGGCAGGATGGCTGGGTGAGTTGCTGGATAATGCAGCACTCGGCCCATGTTGCACCAGGAAAATGCTAAATGTGATGGTGTCTGATCTGGCCATGTCGTCCAGGTCACTGCTACACACACACACACACATACACACACGCCTTTCTCTCCTGGCTGCCAGGTAACCAAGAATATGAGACTCCCACAAACACTAATGTAATTAAACTGCATGGATGTCTGAGGGAAAAACACCCAAGGAGACACTGAAATAAAGGAGGAAGAAGACAAAAGAAAGTGTAATGAAAATGGAAGACAGAGCCACCTATTCAAACAAATTCCTTTTCTTTCCTTCCCTCTTCTCTTTGTGAGAGTTAAATGAGAAGATTGATATCACTCTTATGTCTTAGCTGTAAATATGAATAACAACAAATTCATTTGGGTATTTCAACAGCTTAGAACCAGATCCAAAATGGAACCCATCCTTACACGGCTTCAGCTTAGTATTTAACTGGCATACGCTCACCGGCCACTTTATTAGGTACACCTGTTTAATTGCTTGTTAAAACAAATAGCTAATCAGCCAATCACATGGCAGCAACACGGTCAAGACAACTTGCTGACGTTCAAACCGAGCGTCGGAATGGGGAAGAAAGGGGATTTAAGTGACTTTGAACGTCGTATGGTTGTTGGTGCCAGACAGAAACTGCTGATCTACTGGGATTTTCACACACAACTATCTCTAGGGTTTACAGAGAATGGTCCGACAGACATGAAAGCATGGATCCATCCCGCCTTGTATCAATGGTTCAGGCTGTTGGGGCGGCTGTGGCTCAGGAGGTAGAGCGGGTTGGCCGTTAATCAGAAGTTCGGCGGTTCAATCCCTGGCTC